GTTCGGTGAGGCTGCGCGTTAAATGATGAATGTCAACGAAAAAATGGACGTAAAATTTTGATGATATGCGATGTCCGTTTCTTCGACTGCCTTTTATCATTTCGAGAGGGTTTTTTGGTTATTGCTACCGTCAAAATGGATATCGAGCAAAAAGCGCATGACATGAATGATGTTATGAAGCATAAAGCATGATACACTGAGAATAGTGGTCGAGTGAATTTATCATTTAAATCAAAACGACAAACCAAACGAAATTCTTCCAAAATTCAAGCTTTCTCATGTAATCTCATGACCAGTAAAATTTAGATGGATAAATTTAAAATGCTGACGTGTTTGATGCATGCGTACGCACTCTCTATTTTTAGCACTCGTGACTTGCTTCCGCCCTCTAACTTTTAGCTTGAATTTCATTTCTATTACCCCAACTATTACGTTTCCTATACAATATATCAATATGAGAACAGGGAATTTCATTTTTATTAGACTTTCTGCATCTTCCGAAACTAACTAAATGACGACGATCAAGTGAATCACGACTCGCAGTTCGTATCAGCAAGCACTGATACAAAAGATCAAATATTGTTCTATTGGACTAATTGAATCAGAGTGAAGTAATTGAATGAATCCAAAGCATTTGCACTCATAATTCATTACCATAGTTGTCGTACGAATGGGGTGGTATCGAGAGTGTTCATAACGTCACAAATATTCATGGTGATAGAGTACGAAGTACTTATACTTAATAGGTTGTATAAAAAGTAAAATAATGTTCGACAATAAGAGAAAACATTTTGAAATTATATCACCACCTTTGCCTGAGAGTAATGAGCAATGCGATATTGGCGATAGCAATAATAACGGTCGGTATCAATACAACGAACGTAGCATGAATATGTGCATTCCAACGCACGAATTGCTGCAGCCATTTAGGGTTTGGATTCGAACGATTCTGTGGCCATCTGAAGTATTTCTCACTCTTATTTGAATCGACTAAATTCGTTCAATGATTATTCAATATTTTTCAATATACTTGTTAAGATCGATTAAAATTCAACTGATAATTTATTATTCATTTGATAATTGTCGTTATCATTCTGAGAACTCGATCACTAGCAAATTCATAGCGTTAATCTAATTGAATCTCAATCAAACAAGATTTAGGACAATGCAATAATGACACGCAGAGTTAGGTCTCATATATCGAACGAGTGATTTGCACATTGCCCTATTTGTTTCGAATGTATTCGAACAGTTTTGCAAAGCTGTTGCTTATTAGATCAGTGTGCTTGATAAGCACTTTAAATGGTAAACTATTACGGCGGATAAACAACCGAACAAAAACAATAATGACAGCTGAGATCAGAATTTCACAGAGACACGATTTGCTGTGTTCATATCGTTAGTTATGCAGGGAACGGCATAGGTCGATGAAGGATGTTTTCGATATTGATGATAATGGAGAGGCGTAAATACCTAATGAATTACTTACTATATTTACTGATTTAATGAATAATTGTAAAACAGTGACAGTAAAATAATGGCAGTCGAAGTAATAATAAGAGTGAAACTAATAACAATGTAATTTATAAAAATGAACAAATAAAGAAACGAACTTTTCCGAGTCAACTGAAATGAAGAGTGCATGTGGTTGTGTTCCATGGCAAAATATTTTCATCGGTGCATGATACATAATATGCGTATACATTGTTAACAATCCAGTGCTTGTAACGATAATGAAAAGGGTCAAAAAAGCACACTTTTTATTGCCTGTTGTTGAGTATTCTTTCATGTATAACGGATATCGAACGCCCAATAATCGCTCTGTACATATCAGCAGTACCAACCTTAACTCTTACGATCACAATCATGCTCTCACATCGAATTTCAATCGGAAGCAATTAGCTTATTTTAGAGCTAGTTAAGTCGAAAATAAGCGTTGCAGATCAAAATATCCAAATGCATCATGCGAACAATGCCCAGTGCGAGAATTGAAATTAGCTTCATCAATTAATGTCTCAAAATGTCTTTGATTGTTTACATCTTTATGTTACTTCCTATGCTGAATGTTCATATCTGTACCATTGCAGAGACTCTTCTCGCATTTGTTCAACATTTCAGTCCGGAATACGTAAAGAACTCTGAATTGAATACGAAATAAGTTTTTGGTAATGTAATTAGGACAGTAATCGACGTGTTTTCGTTTTATCTAGTGCCTCTGGGTACAATTCACTTTTTTCATGAAAATTTAATAAACAAACTGACGAATTTTTTGTAAAAATGAAATTTTCAAAAGGAATTCTTACCAAATTGCACTCGCCGAGATCCAATTCGAGCATGCGATTAGATGCATTTTTGCATTCAAATAAAGCAGTCGAAAATAATAACTATCTGCGAACATCTTATAGTTGGCTAATGAATGCGGAAACATGAATACCAAAAACAGAATGTCAAATATGGCCAAAAAACAAAAACTTCGCGATCTGAAAACAGAAAATTTGATTGAAAATAGAAAATCTTTCAAAAATATGAATTTATTCATGCGTTGTTCAAAGGTGAAGAATCATCCCGCCGTTGTTCCAAAATTTTCCTTCTCAGGTGATAATTTATTTGCGGCAATGATGCCAGCAAAATTTTAGATGAGTATATACGCTTGATGAGTGCTTCCCGGAATGGCACTGCAGTAATTCTATGCCGTGAAGTACTCATGTTCACCCTTAGAAAGTAGTCGAAACGAACTCTTACAGAATTGAACTGCAATAAGTTTAGTGCCAGATCCATTGACAATTATCAATGTCATAGTCAAATCCCTTTCACTCATCATTCGAAGGGATTAGTTCGTTTTTTTGACTTTCAGTAGATTACCACAAGAACGGAATATAATGTTGAACA